AATTATTGTTTTTGTTTTGTCTCCAAATTTCAGGGGAGAACACCTGATTTTATGGATCAAACATATTTTAAGTGCCCACATGGCTTATTTAATGACAGTAAGTCTTTTCACCGATATACAACTATAATGAATAGATTGCCTATGTTTTAGATAGAATAGAAAACATTTTCGATGCTTCTATTGGCTTAAGAACCCAAGTGGAAGTTTTGAAGAATGTGACATGCTTTGGGAACACGAGCCCTTGGCACAACTTATTCAAATTCTCCCAAACTCTCATTTCATGTAGTTATCAAAATATATGCTGTATTTGCTCATATAGTCATTAGGTAAACAGTTCATGCTACATGTAGGAAACTGTGTTTTTATAGTCAGAGTTATATGGAAATACAGATCCTGTGTGTATAATAAAGCTGGGGGTTTATTAAAATTTCATACAACTTGTATACCACCTTTGGGCAGTGAACCACCAAGTCTACTTTTATTCAAGTAAGGTTGTTCCAACTTGTCCACATTTTCCATTAAACACATTCAAGAAATTTTAGTAACAGGTATTACTTTTTTTTTCTCTGACCAATTTATTGTATTCCGCACAACAGGTACCGGATCTTGTGCACTCACTGAGTGGATTATATGCCATGATGGAATCACGTGTGGGTGCTTTTACTAAACTGTGCAAGCTTCAAGGCCGTCTGGACCTGATGCTCTCACAGGTATGTGTGTTTTGAAATAACTGATGGTTGAAATGATAATTATTCATTGACTGACATCAGAGGACCACAATGTGTGAACAGGACTACAAAGCCCTACATACCTAGCACTATCAAATCCTATGCGGGGAACTCTCTTTACCAGAGACATGAATGATGAGTCAGTTTTGTGATAGGAATTGCCGTCAGATCAGTTATTATTGAAATGATAATTATTCACTGACTGACATTAGAGGACCACAATGTGTGACCAGGACTACAAAGCCCTACATGCCTAGCACTATCAAATCCTATGCAGGGAACTCTCTTTACCAGAGACATGAATGATGAGTCAGTTTTGTGATAGGAATTGCCGTCAGATCAGTTATTACCTGAAGACATCTTAAACTCTGACTGTCTCTGGGACAATAATGTTCCACCTAAATAATGCTTTAATTCGTAAATTCTATTCCATAGACTTAGTTCTGAGGGTGTTCTTGTTCTTTCTGTTTGTAGGTGGATTCTCAGAGCTATGGTGCCACAGATGAGGATGAGCATGTTGAGCCTGCAGTTGTGTATCAAGAGGAAGGTGTGAAATTTTATTTTTATGACTGTATGACCTTCCCTACCCCAATCATGTCCAGCTATTCATTTACAACTTGCTGTTTGAGATGTACATTTTTACGTGCTAAGTGAAATACACCCTTTTCTCTTCCACTTCCTAAACACAATGCACATTTGTCGAACAATTCATGTTACATTTACGGGGTATGTAGTTCAAACCAGTCTGTGTACATCAGTGAACGTAAACGGGCTACATTACATGTTCATGTTTAACACCTTATTAATAGATATGATCTCTGTGTATTAGGCTGCTTACTGTGAACCTAACATTTACATATAGTTTTACACGCTTGTGATAAGGCTTTGCTATTTGGGTACTCTCCATGTTTTACCGTACTGGTAACGTGTATCATTGTACTAAAGCATAACTGTTCATGCATAAGATTTAGTTCTACCTACTAAAGTTACAGTCTAAATGTACATGTATGCCAGGTAGCCTTTCCTTAGTAAGCTGAGAACACCGCTTTTTTTAATTCAGGTATCTAAAAGACTTCTCTCAGTGTGAGGTTAAATCACAACTTTGTTCATTTTTGTTAGACTCTGAAGAGGAGCCTCTTGTGCCTATGGAGACTGAACACTCAGAATCTGATGTATGTTATATTCACTGAGTATAGTTTGTGTGTTGTAGAAAGGTCTTTCGATAGTAGTAGCCCAGCTTCACATTTGAGTCGCAAAATGTCGAAAAAATTAACTTCTTTCCCTTAACGTTCTGCTAAGTAGCTTTCGTTTCATAGCTTTCACACTAGGGTGTCAAATGCAGACTTAAGTTAGAACCACTTTGACAGCATAATAAACAGTACCACATGGAAATGCTGCTCAATAGCTTTCATTTGAATGGTCACACACTAGAGTTTCATCTTCTGTTGAATCTGAATTATTTTTCCTGACATTTTATTGCTCGGCCTCGCTAGCGTCTAACCCGTTGTGCTATAAGCACTGACTGAAGGCAAATAATAGATTTTAACTGTTTATTTTCATTATTTAACAAGAGATGATGTTACTTTCTTAGGAAAATTGGGAAGAGGAGGCAGATGAGGAGTCAGCTTCAGAATCAGAAGAAGAAAGTGAGACTGAAATTGAAGAAGAAAATAATGAAGACGATGAATCCGACGAGGAAAGTTGAATGTACAAATTCTCAAAAAACAGATCACACTGTAATTAGGTTTTACAGAATAAAAATAATAAGTTTTGTCCATATTTAAAACGTTTGTTTAGTTCTCAATGCTAAGTGAAGTGACCTTGGGAATGGTTGGGGTTTTTAGGCAGCAGGTGTATGGAGCCGTTTCTGGAAGGCTTTGACTTTTCATTGATATTAGAGTTCAGACAACGTCGAAATTAAGAAATTTATGTCATTGAGATATTCTATTGTTATTTTCGCGTAAAATAAGAAATAAATGTGGAGTAAAATAACTGAGTGAATGTGGAAAGACGGCTGAAAATCAACTTGAACTTGATAAATTGGTAAATTGACCCCCAAGGCGAATTTGGAAATGTGACGTTTCGATCGTCGGCCATTTGTCCATTGTCGTAAGAGCAGAGCATGACAACTGGATGGGAAGTTGCTCGCGCCACTTCCACGAGTATCATTTGCCAAGAAGTATTGATTCAGCCTTTACCAGGTAAGTTCGCTTGCTGTTTTTCTGTTTTAAGTTTGAAGCTATGTCGTTTTAACATTCAAGCACGCCTTATTTTTGTCAACGTACGGTCTATTGTTTTTGCATATTTCCTGACCAGTCAAACACCCAGCAAACGTGCAATTTGTAAGACTGACTCTGTCTTTTGTTGTCTAATTAACAAAATAACTAATCTAATCCACCAATACAACCCGTGCTTGCTTACGCAATCCACGGGTTAAAATTCGGGATCGGAAAAAAGCACTGAAAAGATTGTTTAATATATTAATAACATAGGTAAGCTTGAAATCCTTAGAAGTGTTGATAACTGTCAGAATATTTCAAGCAAATATATCCTTCATCGTTATTTCTGTTCTTTCTTTTCATTTGGGAATAAACGTGGCAGAAGAGGTAGAAGACCTTGGAAGATGGTCCCAGTTGCGTGAGTTTCTCCTGTGGCAGGTACGGTAAAGCGACATTTATACACAGCGTAGTTAGTAGAGGGGACCTTCTACTAACTATGTACACAGGATGTAAACGTTATTTGGAAGGTGTAAACTTTATCGTAAATGAGTCCCTTGTTACTTTTGCAGTGGTGTGTTATGAATAAAACTTTGGGATTGGGTATTTTGCGGCAGCTACATGTAGATATACAGGAGATCTATAATGGATTTCCTCCTTTGGGAAATAATTTCAAGTTCTGCTCTTACCGTTTGGGACATCAAGTCAAGTGAAACCTAGGCCCAACTGAGTTTCTGTAGAATGAAGCGGCTAGGAGTGTTGCTTCTCGCCCCAAGATGGCATGATCACAGGCAAACTGTCCGGTTGCCCCAGCACTGTCTGGTCAGAGCCTTTAAGTGTCTTGCCTGAGGACACGACACAATGACCCTGGCCAGGGCTCGAGCCCGAATCTGGATCACTAGTTCCGCAGCCCAGCACACAAGCCGTAAAAATAACGAGCGTTTTGCTTGGGGCATCAAGTATTTACAGGCAGTTATAGAGACATGAATGATGAGTCAGTTTTGTGATAGGAATTGCCGTCAGATCAGTTATAAACTGAAGACATCTTAAACTCTGACTGTCTCTGGAAAACCAATTACATGCATTAATTGCACTTTACTGTATTCTGCAAGTTCTTAGACGTTTTGTAAAATGTTTGCGTACCCTTTTGTAGATCCAAGTACCTCCTCAAACAGCGCAAAATGTAACAAACAAGCAACTACAAGCTGTAATACTCAAGCACCATGTAAGTAAAGGAATCATAAAGAACGAGTTCGAACATAAACTGTTACGATGTACCTGTAGGAGCGAGACACCCTTTCTACACAGTGTTGTAAATTGAAGGCAATGTGTGAGACATGAATGATGAGTCAGTTTTGTGATAGGAATTGCCGTCAGATCAGTTATCACCTGAAGACATCTGAAACTCTGACTGTCTCTGAGCAACAAACACTTTATGTTGATCCTCGCGTGGCTGTATTGTAAAATCTTAGATTTTTAATGAATTCGTTTCTGTTTCATGTTTAGATCCCAGTTCCCTTCCACCACGGTTTGAAATGAAGCTAAGCCAGCTGGAATGGACATGGAAGGTAAAGGAATTTTAAAGTAACGACAGAGTTAGTTTTACTAACTCCAAATAGGTTTGTTAAACAATTCTGCCATGAGCTTGATGAAACGAAATATACTTCAGAAAATAGCTCCCTCCCCGCCCACTGTAGACGGGCCGGGACGTAGTTCAAGACACGTTCAAGGAACACAACACTCTTGACTTTATTCAACGCAGGCAAAGAGTAAAAAACTTAGCTTCGACAAAAGACTGTTCACAGGCTCTCAAGTCTCCTGTTTTGCGCTGGCGTCCAGTTCTCTCGCGATTCTGTCCGCGCTTTCAACGATCGAATAAAAATACGAGAAAATAGAGGGCTGTAAACAGTCTACTTCGACAACATGTGTCCTCTTCGTAGACCGGTTTCTACCGGTTTCTACCGGTTACGAGACTAAACCCTAAGTGATGTAATGGTCACAAAGTGTCGCACTACACCATATCTTTGACGTTATGAATCCCTCCCACAGTATGCCCCTAACCCCTTGGGACTGATATTTTAAAATGTGGAGTTTGCATTCAAATTCTCGAGATCCTGAATCCCTTTTATTTATTAAAATTCTGTATTCATTAGGAGTTGAGTTTTGAAATGTGACATATTTTAGAGAAACTTCCCAGAGACATGAATGATGAGACAGTTTTGTGATAGGAATTGCCGTCAGATCAGTTATTACCTGAAGACATCTGAAACTCTGACTGTCGCTGGAAAACAAATTTTTAACTGCACTTAACTGTATTCTGCAAGTCCTTTGTCGTTTTGTAAAATGTTTGCTTATCCTTTTATAGATCCAAGTACCCTGAAGTACCTCTTCAAACAAAGCTCAAATTGAAACAAAATCAGCTGTAGTACTCAAGCACCATGTAAGTAAAGGAATAAAAACGAGTTGGAACGGCTTTTCAGCTGTCACAATGTACTTGTAGAAGCAAGGCACCCTTTCTCCAGGTATTCTAAGAAAAAAATGGGTGACGGTGTGTGGCCCGCTTCCCAAAAGCCTTACCGTATTTCAAACCAAAATCTGCGAATTTCCGCAGCCTATTTATGACCTGACCAAAACTTCGATTCCCTATTAAAGACCTGACCCTTAAATCAATGCCCTGTGCCAGACCTGCCTTATAATCAGTTCCCTAGTTCAGAACAATGTTAAAGGCGATGTTTATATGCTTTTATTAGGTAGGATACAAAACTGTGATGAGAAAAAGGGCTTCTTCTAATAAATATACCCAATTCAAGACTAGAATGCAAAAACTATATACCCTATCTCTGACCAAAACGGCTAAAGAAAACATACCCTCCGGGGCTGCACATTTCTTACATAGCCCATATAAGGGAAAACCCCTCCCCCTCCCTCCCTGGGCCCTTTCTACACGTTGTGTGTTGTAAATTGACGACAATCTGTGAGACATGGATGATGAGTCAGTTTTGTGATAGGAATTGCCGTCAGATCAGTTATAAACTGAAGACATCTTTATTTTAACTCTGACTGTCTCTGAAAACCAAACCTTATTATCATAGCTGTTGGTATCTTCTGCAGTATATAGTCACTGTACTGTTTTATTTTGATATTTGTTTTAGATTACGAGAACCCGGTTGATTCCTAGTTTGGTGTACGGCAGACGAAAAACTGCTTTCTCAGGGCGACAACGCTTCCATGGTCAGCATACAGTACAGCCTTTAAGGCACCGTGTAATCTACACCGGAAAACGCTTCATATGTTTTCCGTCCACACTACGCCGGGTGAATTTAAAAACACAACAATCATCTGTCATTTTGGATTTGTGTTTGAAAAACACCCAGTCAGGGAAATCACATGATCATCGTGACGCCATCGTTTTCAAAAACTCCGTTTTCAAAATGGTTTCTGTCCACACGCAAAACAAAAAAAAAACCCGACGTTTTCAAATTCCCCCGGTTTGAAGAGCGTTTTTGAAAAGCTCCGTTTTCGTGATAGATTAGACTAGACGGTAGGCCTAACTGTCGAAATAAAGCTGCGTTTCCTCTGGCGTAGTGTGGACGAGGCTCGAGTCGAACTTCATCGGAAACACAAACTTTCGTTTCCTACAAAACGCCCTTTCAGTGACAACCTGTCGCGTCCCAGCAGGTTTCACAACTTCGTTCTAGGGTGTCATCTTGTCGAGGCATAAAAGAAAGAGCACGAAAAATAAGATAGGTCTAAAGATTCTTGATTTTTGATTGTCTTGGGTCAGGTAAACTTTACCTATATGACACAGACACCAAGCCGGGTACAGTTGTTGTTCGCATTAAAGAGGTTTCTATAAATCAAATAATTTATTTCGAGTTATTCTTCTCCAAGACAGCATTTTTGGAGGTAAATAATTTTAAATTTATTTGATATTTTTACGTAATAGGTGTCCCAATTAGTGGGCTCCCAGGGAGAGTCTCTTTGAAGCTACATGCACGACACATAAATAAAGATACTATTGATAATAAAACAGTCTGATGTGTTCTGACATGTTTGTACCACTAGTAATCAACTCCTGAACTATGTGCTATGAACTATGTTTGGTATCAATCCACGTCTTCGCGAAACAAATCAGGACAGGGCATGAAAGATGTCTGTTGATTGACGCGTTGTAGACTGTTGACAGTTATCCGAAGTTATTTGCATGTGAATAGTGAAACCTCTGAACCTTGTCCTCAAACAAATCAAAAGTTGTTTGGTATTGTAATTACGTAACAAGATGTTACCAAATTAAAGATAAAAGTTTTAAGTTTTGTCTCTACAACGTTCTGGCGTGGAGAGCTTTGGCAGAGCTCACTTGTGTGAATTTCGTGCCTCAAGTGAAGAGTGAAGTAACCTACTGTCGGGTGTTCTGTGTTTTCGTGAAAAAGAGACCTGATTGCTGGTTATATGAACTTTGATAATTCTATTTAGTGCGCTCCGTCCACCAACCCTTCCCCTCAATTATACGCCCCCCCCCCCTCCAAAGTTGAAGGTGTTTTTGTATTAACGGAGCAACAAACGTCCAAATACCGTAACGAATCGATTTAGCGCCGCACCTTGAGTTTATGTCCTGTGGCAGGTAACGTGATTAAAGCGACATTAAAATAGGCGCGCGAATTATGACTTAGATTGGAGCCAGCACCCAAGTTTTGCCTTATGTACACGTGACGTGGCGGCCTGTAGAGTGTTTGCACGTGCGGCAGCCATGTTGGTGCTCCCAACAGAGCCTCTTCCAGGCTTTCAATTAGTTGGGGCGCAGCGCGAAAAAACGGTGGAACGACATAAAAGAAAGAGACGCTCGGTGCGTGGCCGCGAGCGGTCTGGACCGTTCAAGAATCAGGCTACCCAATCAACTGAACGCCTGGAATAAGCTATCCCAAATAAGAATTTTTATGCAAAAATGTCCAAACGATCATTATCACGTGATGAGTTATGATGGTACGTTGCGTTAATTTACGCAATTACGATCACTATTTTCTCCAAAACAAAAATATCTCGTGATTTCTAGACATTTGAGAATTTAAATGGGGTGCCCGCTTACGAGAGATCGTAAACAAAAGAAAAATCTTATTACGAGAGAATATCCGCTATTGGGAATGTGTAAATACAGAGTTTGACTGGGAGGTAAAAAAGGGAATTGAAAACAGTGGTTGTAAGTAAAGTTGTCCGCTTACGAGAGTGTCCGTTAATGGAGAGTTGACTGTATCTCATGATCTCCTGTGTTTTATAGTGCTTTGAATTTTAACGTATTTTCTTGTAGTCCATTCCCTAAAGAGTCGAGTACAAAATATTGGAAAATATTACTACTATATCCCAACAAGAGAAAATGATCTGTAATCTCTTGAGGTTTGAAAAATGTAGGCGCTGCGCGCGTTCCTCTCATCCCCGCTTTAATAATATGTCCCGCCAGCTCTTGCGATAGTGACGTCATTCTGTCAACTCATTTATAGGAGAATCTTTGTTTACAATATTTGCCTCATTACTCCAAGCGGTACAGTTTCTGATGGAGCTACAAAGAGATTAATACTGAATATTGAAAGGGCACAGCACGATTAAATGTCCCAAGGAATTTGAGCGCGATGTACTGAATACTTTTTGTGCGACGCGGGTTTAAAAGCTCAAAATTTTACAAAGAATGTCTGAGCTCATTAGCGCTTTTGCCACACGGAAATTTTGATGTTTTTGAAAGCCAATTTCTCCTCGAATATTATACCCAAAGAGCCAAAACTTTCACCACTTACTAAGTTTCACAAGCTCTTTAAGTTTTTCTAGTAAAATCGTGTCTAGCGTGATGTCCTCTCTGCGCAAAGTCGTATGTTAATGAGGGAAAATGTGAACAATGACGTCAGCAAAGATTCGCCTATTGACGGATGTGGTGTCCCTGCTGAGAACTTTAAAATTGAATTTTACAAAGATGAGCATCGCTTTTGAGAAAGTTGAACATTCTGTTTTGTTGAAGTGACCAAGTCGAGTTTGATTCCTGTTAAGTTGAACGTTGTGTTGTAAAGTCCGTTAGTGATAACTATAAAGTTGGATTTTGAGCCAATAGTCCAATGTCCCGAATGCCGATTACTCACCCATTTATACTAAATCACAAAGTCCGGTGCTGTCAATCGTAGTGTTGAACTATAGTTGAATGAGTTAAAAGTTCGATGTCGTTAACTGTATCCTCGTCTCTTGTGTTAAGTTAGATGTGAAATTACAAAGTCTGTAAAGCGTCTGAAGTTGAATGTGGAATTCAGACATTTGATTTTTTGGGGGGCGAAGATGGAATACCAGAAGTGCTCGCCTACTTGTCTGGGTATAAATCTCTTTAGGCTCCAATTTCCGTCGCAGCCGTTACTTGGGTTGTTACGTAATGGGGAGTTTTTTCTTGTTTTCTTTTTTGTGTGTGTGCGGTAGCCCCCCAAAACTTCTGCGAAGACCCCCGCAGGCTCTCTCCCGTGGGGTATTCTCAACTTATTTCGAGATTTTATTTCGAACACATGTCACAAGCTTCGCAATCCCACAAAAGAGCTTACGTTTGACCTTAAGTTCATTAACAAAGTTCCGTTTATAGACAAGTGCAGTGGAAGTTATGTTGTGCAGTTGAATTTACACAGCCGAATGATTCGGTATTTATGCTATGTAAAAATTTGAAGACTCAAATAAACTACTTGAAGTTTATTGTTGTATAGCTATTTCCGCAAAGGATCCTGTACCGAAAATTATCTCGCCAAGACAAGTGCAATGCATGGATATTGTTCCCCTTTTGTGAAGCTGTATACTACATATACTTTAAGAGCAGCTGGGGTGGAAAACATCGAGTTGATACCTAATTTAAAAATAACAATCAAAAGGAAAACAATCCTTGCCATTGCACTTTTCTCAGGACAGGATCATCTGTGGAAATACGGACTTAAAAATGAAGGTCTATAACAATTAAAACAGAAGAGTTTTGCTCGACAGTCTTTCGGGTCCCGGATTATTTGCTGAGTTACAATGCTTCACTGTCAACATTGCGGCGGGTCATAGAGCTGGGAGCAGAACAGCCCCATTAATGGATCATAAATAGCAATTGTCTCAGCGTAAACTGTTACATCCCGTGTTTTGAAAATTATTAAAAATAGAACTATCAGGAAATTTCAAGCTGTATCGTTATTTTGTATTTTTATCGACCCTGCATGTACACTTCCACTTCACACTGTTTATAACAACAAGTTTCCATAAAAGCTCATGGGACGGTTTCCTCTAAACCTGTGAATGTGCAAAGTCCGGTAGAACTGATACATACAGAGCAAAGTTTGTCATCATTTTTTTTTT